TTGAGGTGATCACTCTGTGAGAGAAGATTGTAATTTTTGCTCAGTATGTTGTTGATGTTTGGACGTCTTAGTAAAATCAAAAACTACCACTCCCGCAAGCCTAGGATGCCGACCATGTCGAAAGCCCAGGTATGAAGTCTGCAAGCACATGTCAGAAGCAAAGAACGTCACGAGCCCAAATTCAGATTTCACGTGGAACATAAGGGGTAGTTACGATTGCGGCAAGCCAAACGTGGTTTATCTCCTGCACTGAAATGTCTGTAGCAAACAGTACATTTGACAGACTAACCTGGCTTTTCAGGCTACGCTTTAATAACCACAAATATCAAGCACAAACACTCCCCGACCTTCCGCTCTCAAAGCACTTGTCTCCTTCTAATCACTCAATCAAGCACATTTCTCTTGTAATTTTGGAACCAGGCTCCAGCTCAAAATTGAAAGGAGTGGAAAAGGAATCGTATTTTATTTATAAGTGTGATACCTTCAACCAGGGCATTAATAAAAGTCCGGGAAGGCTGTTTAGTTCGCTGCTGGCTCGTTGGAGAGCTTATCCTCTGCGTCCTCGAGCTTCTCGAGATGCACACGCTGAAGACACTAGGAGATCTTCAAACTTAACAATCGATATTTAAACCACACTCTATTTTGGTTAAGCACGAGGAGAACCTCCAAAACGTATAAATGCGGCTCAAGCGGTTAATCTCAGGCAGTCATAGACTGTTACATCTCTACAGCTCCTCATTCAAGGAAAAATACCCCAAAGTTTTATAGCACTTCAAACTTCGATCTTCTAACGCAAACGAATGTCTCTGGAATCGGGCGCGTCGGTGGTCACATGTGACCTATATTTGCTTTGAAGACGAGCCACCCCTTTTGAACCAGAAACTTTCGGACACACTTTTTTTGTGTGTTTTTCTTCTTTCGCTTCAAAACTTCTCAACCTTCTTTTTTTTTTGCGTTTTTCTTGTGCGGGCGTAAACAATCTCTCCGCCAACCGTTTTGTTTTTCTTTTGGCAGTTGCAAGTTTAGGTTTTCCTTCCTTTGTGTGTGCACTACTATCTGATTTGACAACGTTGTTTCCATTTCCTACTGCTCTTTACCACATCTAATTTCTTCTTATGGGTATATAAACATTCACGAGCTGTAAACTCGTTACCTGATGAAGAGCGGTCCCCGCTCGAGACGTCGTAATAAACTTCGAATAAGTAGCTCCGACAGTACGCATATATATATATATATATATATATATATATTTTTTAGAGTGTTCTGGGAGAAAACATAATACACGGAGCCCAGGGTTTCCAGAGCCAGGCTGAATCTAATCCAATCTCGTGAGACGATCCACGCCCTGGCACGCAATGCCTCTCGAGCACATTAGCGCCCAAGCTGGCACCGCAGGGCTCGGCACATCCATGCCACAAATGCTCCCCATTGAAAGAAGGCATCCTAGCCGAATGGGTGAGCTTTGTAGAAAAGGGTGGGCTGGCGTGGCATAAAAGCTGGAGGCGAATAATGTGGACGACTTGTCGACCGTGTGTGCGCCGGTCTATTGATGGTATTCAAATTTCACGAGGTAGTATACGGGTAATGTTTGGTGAATAACACGGTAGGGGCATTGGGAGACCCTTTTTGTTGCGACCGAGTTCATTGAGAGTAAAACGTTTGAACACGCGGTCACTGGGAGCAATTTTTTCTTGTTTTCGGTCATCGCAGTACCGTTTCGAGACGTGTTGGTGAGCAAGGGGCAAGAACAGTCTAGCTGGCGACAAGCTTCGCTAAAATAGGAGGCACGCAAAAGGGTTTCCTCACCCAGGAGGGGGGGGGGGGGGGTGGGTAAGGTATAATATTGTCTGACATCTTAAGAAACGCGGGCGTTTCCAGTCTCGAAAATCTCCTTATTGTTCCAAGGTTAATTAGATTCCTTCAGTGGCCGATAAGAACACCGGAATCCCAATCACAAAGCAAGAAGCCCGAACACAAGCCTTATCCGCGGCGTTTCTTAGATTACTAAAATCTAGAGGTTACATTGCACACTCTTTATAATATATTATTCAAACTTTGTTTCCCATGGCGATGTATCTTTACAACACTGTTATTTTGCAGATTGCTTAAATTCTTGCTGGTGAATAATATTTGTACGCGTTATTTTGTTTAAGTTATGAGCGATGAAGTTATTTGTATTTACTCGTTGTGTAGAGTGCTCGCAAAAATGGACGAAAGACGCTCTGTGTAGAGCGCTCAATGGAACAGCCAGAGCACGGAAGGCCGCTTCCTCAATGAAGATACCACGACAGTAGACCGTAGACATAACCGCACCCTTACCCGCCTTGCGATTTTCGCTGATTGAGTGCGTTAAGTAGAGACTCGGATTCATGACTCGAGTCACTTCATCTACCAAACAGGTCGCGCACACTTCCGGTGCTAGTGAAACGAGTCAAACTCCGGACCTCCGTCCCCAGATTTGAGGCTCGTGGAGTCAGAAATTTCTGCCTCAGGAAGCTTGACGCAGTTCCGCTGGTTCCGCTGAGAGCAGACGCTGATAGCGGGCTGCTCGCGCTTGTTTTGATACCCATTTCGCAACGGTTAGTTTTTGCGGCAAAGGTATTTGTAAACCGAACGAATTCACGATGGATGCATCACCGCAGAAGCAGCTGAATGTGATTTCAATCATCGTACGTTCTTATGAACAAGTGGGAATGTGTCGGTAGTCTTCTGGTATGCGTTAAACTAATCTTCAGTGTCTTTATGAAGATCTTTTTGTTGGAGATGCTACGCGCAAGTCCGAAACTCCACCGAAAAACACAGTATAACATTTCGCTATCTGGAAAACAAAACTGGAAACCTATCAGGATTCTATCTATATTTCAGATCTACAAAAATCATGTCTTGGACTGCAATCTAGATTTACAATTTCCAGAAAGAGATTTACACTTCCATAATCCAGATTGTGAAAAGCTATCTGAATATTTCGGTAGGGATAGCTTTCTGAACGCTGTTTCTTACTTCCCTTGCTGATGCTCACCAGATGAATCTTCCGTTCTTTCAACCTATCATTCGTATGATGTGCGTTTATGGCAAGTAAAATTTTGAGAATGCAGCGGTTTTTGTTTCTACCGTACATTGGGTTCGTTCTTTGTTTCTGAAGCAGTTTCACTAAATGATTTCATAGCCGTTTAGCTAGAAAAAGCAACCCAGGTTCTGTATTCCCACTAGGTGCCCACCACATGTAATGAGCTTCACGGTCCGAATCTGCTTACGTTTCCCCGGAAGTGACGACTAAGCGAAATAGAGATAGCAACGTTAGTTTATTGGCGATAGATATAGTCACTTAAATTCCGTCGTGCTTATAAGAAGTTGCATTTCTTTTATTCGAAATTTCAACCGTTATGAAAGAGAAACAAAAGCACAAGCTTACGCTTGAGCAGCTACAGCGTCATATTAGCGTCTTCTGTGTTCTGCTTTGTCGGCATGGCATCCATCTTGCAATGTTTCATAAGAAATCCAAAGGAAAGAAAACAACCCGAAATTTACAAAGAAGGCGAGAACTGCATCCCGAGGTGCCCTAAGAGCACTTTTAGTGGAGACTCTGATGCAATGCCTCTAGTCGAAGTCGTAGAGTCTCCCCTTAACGCACCCATTGCGACTCTGTTGCGCAAATGTGACTGCCGAAATTATCAGTCAATGAAGCGATCGCCGATCAGTCGAAAAATAAATGGCTACTATTTTAGCCATCCAATCATTGACGATTTCTGCAGTCACATGTGCGCCTTCCATCCAAACGGTTGCTACAAGGAATGACCGCCAGGCCGAAAATAACTTTCTTACTTTCTTAGATAGTCGAGCTCTTTCCATGATTTCAGCCTCTTTCTGCACCTTTAAAATTGTACCTCCCGCTTGTCCCTTTTACTTTTTGGCGCCTTGGCACAGCCGACGTGACCGGCGACCGCTGTCGCGTTGCGGCCAAATCGACGCAGAGATAGAACATGCTAAATTGCGAGCTGTCGCATCGGGCCGTCAGACAAGGACCCAGCGTGCGCCCGCTTTTCGGTGCTAAGCGAAGGAGGCGCCTGAAGTTAAACGAAGTTAGCACTTGGAACGCGTGCCCAACATTCAAAGCCTGCTCCTGAACAGAGCGTGAGGGTGCGGGGCGTCAAACGAATTCGAAATTTAAGATAATCCAAATACAATGATGTTTGGTTAAAATGGAAACCTCCGCTGCCACCAAAAATCTTCCATAATGAGAGTTGTTCATAGTAGCGAGACAAAAGTTCACGTATTTTCTAAGTTCATCTCCGAAAATGATCTTCGTATAGCTGGGCATCCACGTTAGAGGGGTCCATATTAACGCGGCACGACTCTATAGAGATAGCTTAGTCTATCTTCTTTTCCAGGGGTCTTGGTGTTTACCCAAGGTGAGCCCTACGGACTGGGTCTGCTGCGCTTATATGGTTCATGCGAGGGAAGGACACAAATTGAACACGAGCTCCGTTCCAACGCTTGGCAGGGACTCCTATCCAATTTGTTTTTCACCGATTCAGACACTACGCCCAACTGAATGCTGACAAGGCTGCGTCAGAAACACACATGAATAATTCATATTGTTGTTCTCACGGGTTTTGTTCTTAACTTGGCTGTTACAGGTGCGATAGTCGGATCTCCAACTCAACCGAGAGGGATTTCTGACTGGTGTCACGTAGCCAATAAAGCGTGTGTAGCGTCGATCACTTTGCACCGACGGGCCAAAAAATGCGCAACAGCAATAGGATTATAGGATTTTTGGTGTGCGGCCTCTTGTGCTGGGGCTGTTCCAAGCAGCGCTATATCGCAGATTTGTTATTAGCTAACACTAGTACTGCGATGCCATGACACTTCGTGTTTTCTGCAGGTTTGGTGAGCACTCTTCTTTTTCGAATGAAAGGCTTGCGAGGTTTAACTCGAACTTTGTTTAAGGGAAAGTACATTTATATATACTTACTCTAACTTGTTTCATGTTTTCTTTGCAGGTTCCAAAACAGCGCACATCTCTTCCGCCCCGGTTGTCGTCTATTTAGTTATATGCGTTATAATAGTGTCGTAGTGCAAACATCCATAGTGCTACCTAACATATAGTTAAGTGGACAGTATACAAATTGCAGCAAATTGCATGTGTTGTAAAAATAATATTTTTGTTCTATATTACCCTCGATACAACATTAATAGAATATGTAAATGTCAATCTGCCGCATTTTAAATATGACAATATTGGCGAGTATATTAGCAAATGTTCGCACAAGTCTGTGCTGATTTGTGCAAAGCTTTATTCATTCAGAGGGCTTTTAAATAAATCGCAGTTAGTTGAACCCTGAGCTGAACGTATGTTTGCTTTAGTATGAAATGAAAAGTATTATACTCAATAAATATTTCGCAGTGTTAAAAGCTTTTGACAATTTACGTGCGCGATTATCAATATACTAAAGTGCGGAGCACCAACATTCAGGCCTTTACAAAAAACTACATTAAACTAGTAAGGCTGGGTTTTTGGCTAACTTTTTTTTTCACAAATATGCTGACGGCTTCAGCGTTTCAAGCCTGGATCTTGGCACCTAAAAAGCTAAACAAAAAATATTAAATTAGTACTATTATTGGTGAATTTTGATCACACAATATAGTAAACAAAAAAACACGGTCAGTAAAAGTTTAAGAAAACTAATTTTATCCTCGGAAGTCATATATATCATATTCCCGCGTTAAACTCCATGCTCGAAAAGAAGGGGCAATGACCTTTCAATAATGAGTCATTGTTTAAAATACCTGAGGGACTATGCTATACTTTTGTAATAATATGCACTGTTCACTGCAAAGTACTGCTCAATTAGTATATCTATACAAGTGTTCGTCTTTTACGACAAATGATTTGGTGATAATAAAAATGTGATTGTTGCCACTGACCTTTGTCTTTTTTAAGTTTTAGCAAAACAATTTTAATGAAAATGCTTTGAAACTGTTCTACGATCAGAGCATCGCAACAAATCGCAAGTGATGTCTTATTTCTTTATTTATTTATGCAATATGCCTACTTAACGAAACATTTCCTGAAACACGTGCTGGATGAGGAGTAGGCGGTTCGCTATCCGTAGTATATCGAGCCGTAGGCAGCATGGTTCATTTTCGCCTCAACAAGTCTTTTCAAACAATACGGTGCACGTCCTGCCATTTTTTTTTCTGTTTCTTGTTGAATCCGGTAGACGTGGCTCGATAACTTCTTCATGACGACATATAGACCCAAGAACGGTAAGTGCAACTTTAAGGATAGTCCTCCAGGCACTGCAAGGGAATGCAGAACTCTGGTGCCTGGTGCATCGTTCCCTTCATTAGTACGTTTTGCGTAGTAACGGCGTTGTGCAACATTTACTTTTTTTGTTATTTGCAGTTGCATGGTCGTGGGTTTTTTTTAAGCTCATGAGTAGAGGTGATGCGTGGTCATCGCAACTAGACCCTACGAATTGCTAGTGTGGCCATAATAACATTAATGATATTATTTACTTAGGCTCTTTAGAGGCGTGACTGCACAGAAGGGCTAGGGGCCCGTACCTAAAAAGTCTGAATGCACATCGAGTAATATGTAAGTTGGGATCATCATCTTCCAGCCAAAAAAAAAGGCAATGAGGCCTGTAGCTAGTTGCCTCATGCGCACTGGAGAAATAGGACACCAGAGCAATGAGTTGTTATGTGTACAAGTCAGTCTGTGTCTCATCCACGTACAAACTCAGGCTGTACATCAACGTGCAGTTAGAGTGTCCACTAATCATTTCGACTGCGGGTGGAAAGCGGACGTCCTCGTCTTGCGGATCACGAAAATTTAGGACATTGATTGAACAAGTTATCCCTTGGCCAGAGTGGAGTACTGATACTATGCCGTAGCAACAGAAAGATTTCTGGAAAAAGGCAGTTAGCTATATCCTTCTTTTTCTGAACCTTCAAGTAAAACATTTAAGCTTACCAAGTAACATATTCGGTCTCTACTGGAAAATGTTTGCGTCATCTTCCCGTAATCTGCAATAAACCAGTTGGTCCCTAGCCACGAAGACAATCACGTCCTCCTAAAAGAGGTGCTCGTTGCCTCGTGTATGGTGCTTTACGTGCGGTAGTAGTTGACGCACCTCGCACACAAACCAGCTACATTTTTGCGATTTTAAATCAAAAGAATATTTCTATGGCTTTCTTTAGTGTTTTTTCGCGCCTAAAATGTCTACCACCCCATGAGTTATGAGCGGAATGCAGCGCAAGTGACAACCACTTCTCGGCGATTACGAGAATTGGTGTAGACTCTCCAGTCGTGGTTCACCTCAGGTAGCCGTCGATGAGAGTTAACTTCAAGCGGCTACGAGTGGGTGCTCCAGCGCCATGTAGAAGTATTCATTTTGCTCTCCGGCCTAAGAACAGGTCAGCCAGGATGGGCGACAGGTGCAGGTCACGTAGTTTTTTATTGTCTAGATTCTTCACAGAGAACGAAGGTTGTGAGCCTGTCATCAGAATTTCATGGGGTCCTTTATTCAGAAAGAAAGATCGCTGTGACAATGAATCAGTGTCCCCATTTCTCTTTCCTGTTTGATGAAAGCAGGTAAATATACCCGCTTTATACAAGGTGTGTGGGTGTAAGCAAAAATGTGTGTTTTTGACCAAATACGTGCAGACATTCAAGCGATAGCTGCAGCACGGTAGCGCAATGTGGGTCGGTCGAGTGGTGCCGTCATGTGCCTAAGGATGGAGGTGCGACGTGGTTAATTCTCATAGCGGTTGTGGTCGGCGTCGTGGATGCCACGAACGACTGACACCAGTGATCCGTGAAGTAAGCGGGTAAACGCGATAGAATTTCTTAAAACGATCCTACATTACAAGTAGCTACTGGAAGCTGCCAAAATGGGATTCGCATAACGCGAGTAATGTTTTAAAATAAGTTCTCAAGCAGGCGGACACGGAAGACTTTCCTTTGGTCGCGCCGTTACTGGCGGGATGCCGGGGCCGCCGACAGGAAATCCCACTTCCTTGGCCTCGCGCCAAAAGTGGAGAGAAGGTTTGTTCTATAGCCGCGACGACTGGAGACAGTTGAAATCTCTGCAAAGTGTCGCCCATAGTGCTATTGCTTTAAAACAAGCGTGACCGAACTCCCGAGGGAAATAGGTCGCTTCCGGGTTGCTATAGGTTTTGCTTGTTTTGAGGACCGGCAGTGTGCAGTGCGAACTTTGAATGTTTCGTCACCGAGGACTAATTGCTATCTCCTTAAGATCAACTTTTTCGGGATGGACTTACCTTCTTGGTCCTTGGGCGAAATGAAAAAGCACTTGTTCCTCGAAAAATTGACAAATCTACGAAGGTATCCCAGGTAGCACGCCAGAGGAATGCCCAACTTGGGCAAAGATCTGGCAAACATACGAGCCGAACTTTGGCGCAGTTAGGTTATTGCACCATTGCAATCATCAGTGCCAAAATACGGTGCCTAACTATAGCCTTAGTTGGGTGATCCTAGGGCATGCCAAAGTTTGGCTCTTCTCAGGTACGCCAGAGGAGCGCCAAAGTTGGTGCCATACAGGAGCCATAACTGCCAAAGGAACGCCGAATTTGGTTATTTCGGCCACTGTGGTGATTTCGGGGTCAACAAGGTGGGAACAAGAAAATGAAGAAGAGAAAGAGACAAGAGCGAGCAGTTGGCACGAGAAAAAAGACCGAGACGAGAGACGAAGACGAAGTACAAAACGTTCTCGGGACGGACAGGGCAATCATCAAGCTCACGGGGGCGAAGGCTTGCTGCTATACGCAAGGTCTTCACCCCACGTCGAAGTCTTGCAGCTTTACGCAAGACCTCGTTCCGCCAAGACGGCACAACCAAACCCGGACTCCGCCGCTGCACCACCAAAGAGAAAATGAACTCAGATGAAGCTCGTCGCATCCGTGAACTGTAAGACTTCCATTAGTATCGTTTCTTTTTTTTCCCCCTTTTCTTCTTGTACTTATGTCATTCGCGCTTAAATCTTGTGCTTTTTGTTTTAATCATTGTACTATCTGTCGAAATCTAAAGTTTATTTTTCTTTCTATCTATCAAACTGGTCTCGATATCCTTTCTCTTCGCGTCGCAGACCTGCGAGAGTGAAATAGTCCACTACAATTCTGACGTCCGCGACAGGACTGCTCTTATATTCAACCTCAAAGAGCTCCACCTCGCTAGTGTCCGCGTCGGTTGAGAATGGATCTTGAGAAGTTAACGGTGATTGGTAAAGAATTGGGTTTCTCAAGAGCTTCGCTAAAGCAATGGATAGACGAAGAACGCGCACGCGAAAGAGAGGAGCGTCTAACAGAACGAGAAAGGGCTCGAGAAGTGAAAGCTCAAACGAGTGCTCGTTTAGAACCAGAACGCACTGTGCTAGAGCTGAAGTTGCGGTTTCAAGAGCAGCAAGGAGGATCGATCACTCGGGTTCCAGATGCATCTGATCAGGTTACGTCTCCTAGTGTCGCGCAGGGGTATCGGAATCCACATAAACTTATACCCCCCTTTAACGAAAGGAGCGATGAATTGGATGCATACATCCAACGTTTTGAGCGGGTGGCAAGAAGTCAAGAATGGCCTCCGGAAAAATGGGCCTTGTCCTTGAGCCTATGTTTGAAAGGAGAAGCGTTAAGTGTAATAGTACGCATGGCTGCCGACGATGCCATGGACTATGCTAAACTGAAGCAGACTCTTCTCCAACGATTTCGCTATACTGAAAACAGGATATTGTGTCAAGTTCAGAGAGGCGAAACCAGAGAACTCCGAAACGGGAAGACAATTTTCTGGTCGTCTATTAGGTTATTTTGACCACTGGCAGGAGATGGCAAGGACGGAGCGCACTTATCAAGCACTTCGGGGCAAAATTGTCTCCGAAGATTTTCTGAACAAATGCCACGAGAAACTCGCAATTTTTATAAAGGAAAGGGGCTGCCAAGGGCTCGACAAGCTAGGAGGAACTGCAGACCACTACCTCGAGGCCCAGGGGTTGGTCAACCTCGGCAAAAAGAAAGGAGAGACTGACGAGCCGACAGGGCAAGTTAGGATGTCTGATCTTCAAGGTGCAAAGAGAAATCTGCAGTGCTTCCTTTGCAATAAAAAAGGCCATCGGGCAGCAGACTGTTGGGCCAAATCAAGAGGACCCAATCAGAAGACGAATTTCTGCTGGAAATGTCGCAAGAATGGGCATAAATCTGAGGCTTGTCCGAAGAAGACAGACGGTGGTGGACAGGTGTCATGTTTTCTTACACGTCGGAAGGATCGTGACGTCTACGGATCTGGAAGTCGTCCATC